AAAAGGCGCTCCCAAAAAAATTCGACCGCCCTCTAGCGGGCTGCAGAATCGTCCTATTTTGACGGTTTACCTATAGAACACCCGGAAAGGCGAGAAAACAAACACCTTCCGTTTTTCAACATCGGCATTTTACTTCACGAATTTTAGGGCCAACACCGATGAAAACTGTAGATTTTATGTAAAATCCGCCTGTAAATTGATTGCTAGAGCTAACAAGACGACACTGATTTTACGCGTTTTGAAAAATTGTTTAATATCGACAGCGGGCTAAAAAATACCGCCGATATATGCGCATTTAAAAGGAATCCTACCCGTAGTGGCGATTCTAAATAGATGTGGCTGACGCCTGCTACCACGGCCATCTGGGGTGCGCCTCTAAAGGAGTTAGAATTACGGCAATACAGCAGCCGTAGCTCCATCGTGCAAACTCACATGGCGCTCACGCAATGGGCAGCTGTCAGCACCCAGTATGGGGCCAAGATTGTACCCCCGCAAAATTGCGTCAAGCCACCACTGGATTTTGATCAGTTGTGAATTTTCAATTCCCTAACTTCACGATATCCTTTTCCACAAGGGCCACGGCAAACGAATAGTTTTTTATCCGGATCGTCGAAGTCCCATTGACAATCTTTAGATTTCTCGTGATGCTTGCTACTCCATTGGCCAATAGGATAAGCAAGAAATACATGGAGTGACGGTTTTTCTTTGCCATGGCTCTTGAAAATACAATGAAATAAAGGTCCTACAGCTGTGACATCCCTGTTCTATTTGCATAAATCTATACCCCGGGTTTTTATTGCATTCCACCAGCCTCATTTCCGGTGCGGCGACACTAATATGAGACCAAAAATAGACTCGCTCATATCCAAACAGCTGCAGATCTGCTAGTTAGTTCAACGAGGACTTTGAGCGGTTGTTCCGCACAATAACCTACACAAGTCACGTGTAAATAGCTAGCTCGAGGGCGTCCCCCCCCGGTTTTTCAACGACGCGGCTTTGGAAAATCGGATTCTTTTGCGCTATTGTAAACAAAAAATGCCATATTTTTGTAGGTTTATCATAAGGCGGTGATATCTCGGCAAAGCGAGATAATTCTAGTCGTCCGCTCGATCCAATCACAGTAGTAGGCAGCGTCCATATAGGTGGCTAAAGGGTGCCAATTAAATAAGGCACTGAGCAACGAATATTTTCAAGACGTGCGTTATCTTACGGGTTGTACGCAACTAAATATAAAATCCAGAACTACCCGCGTTCCTGTTATATCTACAGAGCTTTGGACCCGAGTTGACGATGCCGATTTGGACGAGATGCTTTTTATGGAAGCGTGACAGAACGGAGACGACCAGGGGCCCTCCAGAATCGCCCTGAAATCAAAAGTTAGTATTTAGTAATTTGGCCAGATAAGATAGGCAAGGTTGTAAATTCGATGGGATAAAAATATTCCGGATCTGCCGCCTATCGTAGACATCCAGAGTGTGCCAAAAAACGCCCCCTCGGCGTTTCATCGCATTCAGGGACGTAGCGTAATACCGGCCCCGGGGGCCCGCCCCCCGAAATCGGCCGTGGCCCGAAAATTTCATAAGGGGGGACCCTTATGATTTTCATTTTCTCAAAAATTTTGCTGCCTGCGGCGCAATTTTTTCACTTTTTTTTACGGCTATTTGTAGAGCTATGTAACCTTTTTTTCAAAAAATTTTGCCTGCGGCGCTGTTTTCTCGTTAATGTTTTGAGTTTTTGCAAAAAATTTTTGGGGCCCCCCCGAAATTTTTTTCTGGCTACGCCCCTGATCGTATTGCATCCGATCGGGCCCAAAATTGGACGAGAGGTGTATCAGACCCCAACTAACCACAGTCCTGATTTATAACCAAATCCCTCAAATGGGTCTCGAGTCAGGGCAAAATAGACCTTATTTTTTCGCAGGATTTCCGGGGGAATCGGCCTTACAAATAGTGAGCGAAACTGATGCGGCAAGCCTCCTCTATTCTTAAAGGAATAGCGCAAGCAGCAGTCCACGTGTGACGTGGATTCCTGGAACTTTGCCAGGTTTGGCTGGATTTGCGCTTATCAGTATTCCAATCAGCGCTCATCAGCAATTCAGCACAGTAATGAGAGGATTCGGTCTGATAACGCGTGCCTCAGGCTATTTTTTGGGCGGATAAGGGCCTTTTTGGAGTACAGATGCGCAAGATCTGTGCAATTCCAGAAGTCCAAGTAACACTGAGATTTCTGCTTGGGCTATCCCTTTAGAGGGCACGTTCAGGGACGTTTTTTTTTCGAAAAAAAACAAAGAGATTTGCCGCGGCCGGGGGTCGAACCCGGGCCCCGGCTCGGGAGGCGCGGATGGATACCAGTCAGCCACCGCTACAACCTGGCGAGGGGATGAGGGGCGCCCCACGCCGCAAAGGAGGGGAATGGCTTGTCACAGCAAGGGCAGGCAGTGCGCGCGGTCCCTGCGTCCACAGGGTGTATACGTTGGCACGAGTATACGGCCCCTCCCTGAACGTGCGCTTTAAGAAGTTTTTCTCGACAAAACAAAAAACAACCGCTGCTGCCAACAATTTTTGTAACGCACAGCCATCCCCGATCCTAGGCAAACTTAGGGATTCGTGATGCAAATTGACCAAAGTCTAAAAGAAGTGAAAAAAACTGTAGCAATCGCGGAAAATCGGTATTTAAGTTATATCTCGAGAACCGCTGTATCAATCAGACTGTAACTCAGGATTGTGGTTAGTTAGAGTCTCATATCCCTCTGGTTGAGTTTTGAGACGGATTGGATGTAATATGACCAAATGCGGAGGGGTCTTTTTTGGGACACCCTGTGCATGCTGTATTTATTTACCTTACAAGGTCCTGTATCTGGCATCGAGGCGCAGATAAGCTTCTTTGCAGCGCCGCCACGAATTGCTCTACATCCCGCTCGTGAATAAATGTTGACGGTGGTATAGCGAAGGTCAGGAGAATCGAAGGGTCCTGATCAGTGTGTAAAATTGAAGAACGCTGCTTCCGAATATCAAGCAAAGGCTATAATGTTGCTTTAAAGATTACCTAATGGACCCAGCTGTCCCCATCCCATCACGATGCCTTGCACCCCAGCCACTTCCGTGTAATTGTTCGGCTTCACCAAGATTGTTGGCCTGGCCTGATGAGCTCGGAGGGCGATTGGGGTTTTTAACTAAGGTTTATGGACGTCAGAGACTTCGCAGTATGCAAAGTTGGTACCAAAAATTTACCTTGACCAACGCAACATCATCCAGCCAATAGTTCATGCGGCCGTCGGAGACGTTGTAGCGCTCGGTACGGTAGCCGGAGTGGATGTAGTAACGTTCGACCTCGATTATTTGCTATGATCAAGCTATATATTCTTGTTCGAAGCCGCATTACCCGTTGCATGGCGCGGCGGCGAATATTGGCGACGCCCGCGATTATGCTCATATTGAGCGGCGAGCTAAATTTTGTAAGTTCCAGGCTAAACGCGACGTAGCTGCGACGCGTATGCCACACACACGCAACGTTCATAGCGGCACTTTCGCAGTGCGGTTTGCCATGAAACGTCAAAAAATTCGCATGCATTTCCGGTTAGAGAACGCACCCTGGTGAGCGGCGCAGACCTTTTGCATGCAAATTTTTCCACGTTTCGTGGAAAAACGAAGCTGCCGAATGGGCCCTTTTAAGCGACGCATGCATGTTTCAAAAGCAATCCCGAAAACAGCCGGAGCTCACCCAGGCGTGATCAAAAAACTAACACTACGCAAACGCAACCGATGATTAACTCATCGGCGAGGCCAACTACGCCGCATTCGCGCTGAATTAGCTCATAAGCAACACCCAAAAAAGCTAAACGCAACGCTTCCGCGACGCAAGCTATCATAAACGTGCTAACCCACTATACTAACTTAACTCAAAAGTCAACGGACCCAAAAAGCGAAACGCAACGCCTCCACTACGGAAACGTGACGGAGTCGTTACGCGTCCAAAACCCAACTTACTGATCTTCCAAGCAATGCGCAGCCGTCAACACCCAATCCGCAGCCACAATGGACCCGCCGCATACCGGCTGAATTCCGTCACTAATCACGGATGTTTCCAACAATAACATAGATGTTCCTCTACGTTTGGTTGTCGTCCTGTACCACCAGCGCCACAACGAATGGAAACTCCGTCATGTCTGCGGCGATTTGGCCATTCAAAATCTTCTGATTTCGGCGCAGGCTATGCACCAATTTTAGGTGCCCGAAAAAGCAAATAACGAACAAGAGCTGAATTTGGAGATTCATCGAAAAATTATCGTATGTTCCCGACAGGTTGGTTATTTTCGCCGCATTATAAGCCACTTGGAATCATCGAAGGGGAGAAATATGCCCAATAAATGCTTGACGTATTTTTTGGCAGCGCTCCGAAAAAGGCGTTTTATTGCTTATTTAATCAGATGTAAACGGAATCGGACCAGCTGGCAAGCAGACGGAAGAAAGGCTTCGGAACCGGTTTTAGAAAAAAGCCGCTAGTGAATCTCATTCAGAAAAAGCTCCTCTAGAAAACAAGCTAGTTCACTCACAAAAGTTTGAAATTTTGGAAATTTTCAGAAAATGAGGTGCATCAACATGCATAAAAGTTTTTACAACTTCTCAAAAATGTTGCGAACTTGATGCCTTCCATCGAAAATACCCGATTTATAGGGCTTCTTAGGCTAGAATCGTTGTTAACTTTTTCACGATCTTCCCAACTCCACTAGAACTACCACAAAATACACGACCATAAAAGCACCAAGGTCCATCGCACCTCAAAAAACGCCGGGATCGCGCCATCACTTATGCAAAACGGCGTGGCTGGTGAACCCAGGGGAGGGGGGTGCCGGTCGTCGGCTCAAAAATTTTCGGGCGGCCTACAGGATGGAGACTTGCGATCGCCCACCCCTATTCTCGATCCGTTCTTTTCGGCTATGGTTTGGGATTTTGTTAACCTTTGGATTGTGGGCGAATTGGTCGATGAAGCAGATCCTGAGCATGGCGATACCGTGCATGGTGCGTAATTGGAATCTGTATTTTCCTCCAAGCTGCTGACAGAATGCTTAGTGGACACCGCTGACGTCCAATTCGGCAATTTCCTAGATTTTTAATAGGGCAAATTACTTGGTTTGGTTGTCGATAAGAAAAGGCAACGTCAAGCCTGGATTAAATCGTCTGTTACCTAAAATACCTGCACCTTTTTTACAGGTCAACACTACGATAGCCGTCCAAAATTCGTCATCATCTCACCTCGATAATTTTGAACCTACCGCGAGATGTGGAAGAATCGTCGAAGATTCGGAAGCAGCCCAGGAAATGGGTTATCAGGTATTTGGTTTTTAATGCGAAAGTAACAGACTTTGTTTTCTAGGGAACCCTCGATTGGTCTCCATCGATGCAAGCCCTCCTCTTTTCCTCAACCTTCTACAGTAGCCTCGTCTCCGTCCTCTTTGTCGGCTATCTGGCTGACCGTTTCGGGCCCAAAATTATGCTCCTAGGTCAGAACGGTCACTCGAAAATTACTTAGCCGGTTTCAGGCGCATCTGTTGATTTTCTGATCATGAGCTATCTAGCCCCATCGCTGGCTAGTCACTCGTATTGGGCATTCTTCGGGACGAGGCTGGTAATGGGATTGGCTGAGGTCAGAATTAGTCGGACAACACCCCAAGAAACGCACCCCGGGTGCCTTTGAAACGCACCCCAGGGGGTCTTTGAAACGCATCCGGGGTGCGTTTCTTGGGGTGCTGTCCGACACTAGTAAGAATCATACTTTAACGATGCTTCCCGAATATTTTCTAACGTCAAATTGCGGTTTCTGGCTACTGTTACTACTGGCAAGCCTTTTTAGGGTGCTGTTTTTCCATGTCTCAACTCCTTGGCAGCCAAATGGTTCCCACCTACCGAAAAATCAACGATGGCAGCGATCTATACATCCGGAATTCAGGTAAACTTCGCCTATGCCCTTAAAACCCTGAATTCTAGATATCCTCAGCATTTTCTGCCCCCATTAGTGCATTTCTATGTACGACCAGCGTGGGCTGGCCGTCTATTTTCTACTTTTTCGGTTTGCACTGACCTAGCAGTCGTTTTTATAGCCAATTTTAGCGACCGCGGGTCTGGTCTGGGTGATCCTGGGACTAATTTTTGTCACCAATTCCCCCTCCAAGAACAAGTTCGTCTCCGAGCGGGAGAAGAAGTACTTGGAGCTGCATGTTGGGAATAACGCAAAATTGGCGGTGAGGGTTCCGGTAGCTCGTTCTCTCTCACGCTGCTTTCTTTTTCTGCCTCTCTTTCGCGCTCTCTCCCTCTCTCTCTCTCCTCTGGCCCTCTCTCTCACTCTATCGCTGTCTTTCCTTTTCTCACTTTCGCTCTCTCCCGCTCTCTCTCTCTCTCGCTCTCGCTCTTTTTCTCTCCCTCTCTCTCTCTCTCTCTCTCTCTCTCTCTCTCTCTCTAAACTAGGATTTTCAGAAGAACGCTAAAATGCCGTGGAAGAAGTTATTATTCTCGAAGGAAGTCCTAGCCGTTAACGCCTGCTCCCTATCATCAAATTTTATCTCGAACACGATGCAGTCTTTCCTACCTACATATCTTATGGAAGTGTTGGCTTTGCCTATACACTTGGTATCTCTTAAGCTTTCAAAGTCAACACATCTTATGAAGAACGGTGTATATTCGATGGTACCCTTCTGCTCTCAGCTCCTCTGCAAAAATACGATGAGCCCACTGTCGGATTATTTGAAGCGGCGCGGGCATAGTCCGACAAAGTTGGGGAGAATATTCCAGGGGATTAGTGAGTTAATAGATATTGTTTTGTCGATTGCCTATAGTTTTACTGCTATTTTGTGAATTCACATTTTAAGCTATCATTGTAGGCGTGTGAGCTGTATTTTAAAACGATTTTTTTAGGCTCATTTGGCTCCGGAACTTTCGTTATCCTACTCGGCATTATACCTTCTTGTGATAACCCGGTTCTTGCGATCCCACTCCTGATGGGTTACGGTATAATTGCCATACCGTAGAGCTTAACACGACTTTAGGCCTTACTTTCTCTTGCATGGTGCCTGGCTATTTCACCTCACTACTATCGATTGCTCCAAAATATACGGGAACACTGTCGTCTTTTAGTAATTTGCAAGTATAGCGGGGTTTGAATGTTTTTAGATGCGATCCCAGGGACGCTTGGCAGTATGGGAGGGCCGTTGCTGTTATCGCTAATCAATTATTTGGTACAATTTTACTTCTATTTTAATGATGTTATGAATTTTAGCAACTGCCCTACAAATGGCCAATACTTTTTACGTGCTGTGCTGTTCTCCATTACATTGGTGGAATAATCTTTGTCAGCTGGGGATCAGGTTTGCCGGGAGAGAGAGAGAGAGAGAGAGAGAGAGAGAGAGAGAGAGAGAGAGAGAGAGAGAGAGAGAGAGACAGGAGCCAAGGGGGACAGAAAGAGAGAGAATGAGGGAGAGAGAGAACATCGTGGCCGATGTGATACATCCAAAAATAAACCCGATTTAGCCGAAGTCCTCGCGTGGGCCAGAGCCGATTCCGTCAAGCCTATCCCGAGTTTCCAAGTGTTTGATCCGGAAACGAAAATTCGGCCTGTTGAGAAATAAAAGTTTTTTTTGGTGTTTTTGAACATGTGATGCACGTGACGCAACACTTATAATATGCGAATTACCCCTTACAGTATCGATGAGCCCTTCCAAAATATTGCCTGTTTTTCCATTAGAAAAGTTTAGTGCTAATTTTTTAGCGGAAGTTGTCGCCTGGGCGAGGTCGAAAAATCACAAAACGCAAGCGATAACGACTAGAACAATTTTTCTAGGTAAAATTTTTTGAAATTTACGAAGATATTCGACACGCAAAGCCTGTCTCTACCCTTTCAAAAATCACCAAATTTTATTTTTCATAACAACCACTACTTGAAGACAATGAACGCATTGGACCGTATGAGGAAGTCCCTGGAAAAAGGCTTTCACCCCGAAAAATGGCCACAAAGTCCAGTCTTCCATGATTCACGCCGAGGTACAAATAATTTACTTGCATATATCACGGCTCCAAGGAAGTCAGCGCCGTGCGAACCGCTCCCACATTAATGCGAGACTTGCTCCAGGATTCATTTGCAAGTTTTTACCATAATTCTTTCCAGCAGCGATTCATAGATTCTCGAAAGTAATTTGGTGGGAAGAATTACCGATCATAGCTCGTAGTGTAGCTCACCTAGCCGCTGCGTTACAAGGATCGGGCCGACGTCTTCAAGTGACTTCTAAACTAAAAAAAAGGGAATTTTCTTTTAGTTATCGTTATTCGTTTGAGCAATATTTATTAAAGGGAGGAGGCTACGAATTTTTATGGATTCTCTCACTTTCTCTCTCTCTCTCTCTCTCTCTCTCTCTCTCTCCCTATCTCTCCCTCATTCTCCCTCTCTCTTGCTTTCTCTCGCTCACTCACGCACTCACTCTGCCTTTCTCTCTCTCCCGCTCTATCTCTCTGTCTCTGTCTCTCTCTCTCTCGCCTCTCTCTCTCTCTCTATCGCTCGATAAACGTCCAAGTTTTAGAAAAACGCTAAAATGCCGTGAAAAAGCTGCTCTTTTCCAAAGAAGTCCTAGTTGTTAATGCCTTCTCCCTATCGTCAAGTTTTATCTCAAGCTCTCTCGCTCTCTCTCCCACTCTCTCTTTTTTCCTCACCGGCATTTCACTATCTCTGCGTAAATAGGTGTATACGTAGTGCCTGAACGTGGGCTTCAGGTAACACTATTTGTGTTGTTTTTGGCTATTCCAGGCACTCAAAAGCAAGTAAAAAGCATCTAGATACGCACCACAATTTTCTAAGCTGAGCTTAATTTATGCTTAGAAACGACAATTTCCGAAATGCACTACCGCTTCGAAAAACAAAATTGAAAATGACTCCTCATCCGATTTTTTCAAAGATTCCTGCCGGGATTTTCTTCACGTCTTTAGGCAATCAATAATTACAAAATTTGATAGATGACTTACGACACAACGGTCATGATCGAGCGTATCAGCGAGTTTTTTCATTCTACGGTAAACTTATTCGGGATCCTGACGAATTTGTGGCTAATGATATGTATCGTTAGAAAGGTGGGTGTTGATAGGATTGTGCGGAAATCCATATTATGCCAAAAAAAAAACACTTAAATTCGATTTGATACCATAATTTAGACGCCAGAAGGTCTACGCCCCTACGCGGTGCTACTCTTCAACTTGGCCTTCACGGATGGTGTGGCCTGTTTCGTAGGGTATTTTGTGATGCAAAGGTATCAATTTCGTGGAGTTAACAGCGTTAAAGATATGAAAAAATTAATTTACCGATATTTCAGAATCATCCCCTACAAATTCCAACTCTTCTACATCTCCTACGGCCCCTGCCGATACTTTAGCCCCTTTGCATGCTACGTTGGGTACAGTATACAACTTCACTGTTATGCCCATTCGTTAAATTCAATTTTACTGTCGTTTTACTATAGGTTATATATTTTGAAAAACGTAGGTTTCGCGGAGAAAATCGAGAAATGTAGGTTTTTAGCCCACCCCAACCTTCAGAATGGTCATTTTCTATACCTTAATCGTCTACAGCCCATCACTTTTTCAAATGGTAAGCAAATTTTAATAAATTTCAGGCCATAAAAATTTAGTTTTACAAAGTGTAGATAAAGAAATATTACATAGCAAAATTTTAGACTTCCTTCCTTTTTGCCGTTGATCCTCCCGAGGTGGCTCGAAGTTTATTAGCCGCAAATTATCCGCTTTATGACGTAACTGGTGAGTAAAAAAAACAGGCTTTTTAACTTTATTAATATAGTATATTATATATAATATCGTGTCGTGATATTATTAAATGTTAATATTTAAGATTTCAGTTAAATACGGAATTTTGAGGTCTAACAGTCAGCGGCCATCAGTCAATCTTCACTTTTTCGTGCCTATTCACTGTTTTCTATATGACACTGCCGTGTGGCCCGATCTATGTGATGATATTAATTACGAGGCGTAAGGTATTTGCTGTGAGTTAAAAGTTTTTACCACTTACTGAAACTAGCTTAAAAATATCGGGGTTCTGACGTGAAAAATATATATTATGCGAGTAAACACTAGTTTATGAAGTATAATATTTATTATATAAATTACAAAACTATTCAACGATTGCTATATTTTCTCTAATATCGCTGTCCTCGAGTTATCTCTTCTGGCGCTTGCCAGAAAGATAAAAGGTGTCTAGGACACCGTAATGTCGCGGAATCGCGGCAGGACCTCATAGGTCGACCTGACCGATTCCACTGCATTCTCCTCAGTTTTTGATCGAGAAGCTACTGTCTCTCTGTGAAGAGGTAGAGACCCAGAGCCAAAATTGAGGCTCAGTCGAACGGCCGCGGGGCGTGGTGGGCCTCGTTGAATAGTTTTGTAATTTATATAATAAATATTATACTTCATAAACTAGTGTTTACTCGCATAATATATATTATATTACATAAACAAAACTATTCAACGATTGCTAGTTCAACTCAATACTATGGGAGCAGCCGTGAGGGTCGATTTCTCTTCACGAGAGTGGGAAGGGTGCCATGTAGAGGGCACGCCTTCCCGGAAGCAAAATGACTGCTTAGCTGATTGCAAGGCTAGGCATCTCCGCGGGAACCTAGACAAGCAATTTCCCCGTCGCGGACGAGAATCCACGGTGCGAGCCCACGTGGTGCGGAGCCAACCGGGATAGAGACAGGGAACCAACGAGGGCTGGTAGCAGGACGTCTAACAGAACCGGGGGTAAAACCCCGGAATTGGCTAATTCCGGTGAGTTGGCAAGGGATAGCGCCAAGGGCCAGGAGTAACGTTTAGGAATTACCCCCATCTGAATAACCTTAGGTCGGAGGGCTGGGGCAGCCCACCTCCTAGGCATTGAAGATGCTGTACGGCCCGTGTGTGTAACAGCGCACACATGAGGGCATAGAAGGGGAAGACGACAACCGCGGGCGTGCGCAGAGTTCTCGGCGTTGAGCCCTAAGAGGATACTCGCAGTGAGCCCTCTTCCCACAATTCGTGGACGCGTAGCGGTCGGAGCGTAGCGGCAGGGCGGAGGTAATACGGCCGGCGGGGAGACGCAGACAGAGCCTCTGTCCGGGTCCAACGAATCGTAGAGGGGAGTGTTGTTATAGCCCGATAAAAAAAAGGCCCTTAAAACAAGAGGAAACTCCTCATTGTGAATGGAGAGGGCTATGGAACGCAGTGGCGCGCGGAGCCTGGGCGGAAGAGGGTCGCCACCGACAGCGTGTGCATCCGGAAAGGAACTATATGGATCTCCGAGTCTACAGCGAAGAAGAGCCAGATGAAGTAAGCAAGCAATTGGTAGTTGAAAAGGAGGGGAACTTGGTGTAAGGGAGTAGCCCCCGGAAGGCCGATAGACCGGTAGGGCTGGAGAGGCGCCCACGGCTTCTGGGAGAAGAGCGAGAATCGCTTCGGCAAAACCGGCAAGATGCCTGACCTACACGGAGCCGGAGGGGCACACAAGCCCTATGAAGAGGGGCTGTCCCCGGAACTACACTTAAAAGGTTCCCTCACGGGAACCGATGGCAAGTGGGGTTGCCGTCAGGTAGTATTGGGAGCGAAGACTACCAAGCAGCCGACGCAAGCTAGTGAAGGGGCGGGGGAACCGGCTGAATGAAAGATAGACAAAACGCTATGCATTCCAACCAGGGGGACCCAGAATCTAGGGCTGGGGTAAGCGGGCGGCGAGGAAGAGCCAGTACTTAGTCAGTGGCGGTGCCTCCAAGTACGGGGGTGGGTAGTGCCAAGGATGAAGAGCCGGAGCGGAAGAGGATGTAGTCTGATACGACGTACTGTTGGGATCCCCCAAAACTTCTGGTGGAAGCTAACGGGATCGGAAGGCCGCAGGACGCAAGGTCCTCGCGGTCCACTCCCGCTGAAGGCTGGCAATTGAAGAAACTCAGATCTACAAGATCCAGTAGGCCTGAGGGATCAGGAACCTCCAAAACACGGCTGACACTCCGACCGGAAGGACCCGAGAGGAGGACCAATTGGAGTCTGTGTTGCCGGACTGCGCGCTAGGGAGAGTCACTTGTGCCCCCGAGTATAACTTGCCGTCTCAGAGACTCAGCCGCTCGCGAACCGCTGAGCGCTCAGGGAGAGGAATTCCCTCTAGTACGTGGCGAACTGCCTTCCTTGTCACCAAGTGTGCACACTGCGCAAGTGATGAACGAGGAGGAAACCGGGATGTGATGAAGTCCAGAGGAGTTGCGGACCAAGGAGTGCATCCTAGGTGTCTGCGAGAGCATAGGAGCTCTGGAAAGGAAGGACCTAAGCGGCTGATCCGGAGGTCGCGGCAGAAAACTCGCTTTCTTCGACAAGAAGAATTAGCTTCGTCCAACGCGCATCTAGGAGTGAGGGCAGCTCTGCCCCCCCTTCCCCCGACAGGGACTCGCGGAGCTAAGGTCGGGCGAAGTTAGACTAGCGGCGCGGAAGGGACGAACAGTCCCCCACATCGAAAGGCTCGATGAGGACTTCGACCATCAGCAGTAAAAATCGTCAGCGGCAAGTCTCGAACCCGAGACCTCCAGAGCAGTACGGAATGTACTTGCTGGCTACGCCACGGCACCGAAGTAAACCTGAATGGTTCGCCGTTCCGGGGTTGAGACTTGGGTCAAGGAATAGGATAATTCCAGAGGCTAGGGTAGAAGGAGAGGTAGCATGTAGACCCAGCAGACTCCAGGGAAGCGCCAAATGGGGCTCATACGGAGACGGCAAAAAGAGACGGTGGGCATACGCGAATATCAGCGCAGCAACCGCTCAAGGAAGGACTCAAGAGGGAGGCAAGAGGAAACATTCAGCACCCTGGCGCAAAGTCCCTTGGACTAGAGAGGAGGTCCGCCGTACGAGACGCCTGCCGCAAGATGGAAGGTGTCAGAAAGGAGGCTGGCGTAATATCCAGCGGGACGAGCCGAAGGCCTGTGTACGGGGAAACACGCCAGGCTCAAGGAACGATCGATACCGCAGTAGGCCTCCATCGGGAAAGGCAGACTTCCTATAGTAGAGGACTGGGAACGACTGGCGCAGTGAGAAGGCGGTAGGCGAAAAGTTGCGCACGGGCGGGGACGAACCAGGGCCTCGCGGGCGTGGAGCGACCGCTTACCAATGCACTAGAGGGCGTAGGCGTGAAAGGCGCAGCCGGCACGGGAGACCGGGGGGCTTAGACGCCACGAAAGCGTAGACCCCAGATAGAGTCGAGTGTACGGTAGGAGCGGTACCACTGAGGGGACTTCTAACCGTGACACGGAAGCCAAGGGGAGGCTCATTCACGCAGCGTAGGAAATGAAGAGGGTGGAGACATGGACCCTATAGCGCTTGCATAGCGCGAGGGAATAACGCGGTGGCCGAAAAAGGGAGAGACCGGGCACACTGTCGAGACGATCCAACGTCTGACGCCCGGGAACTGCGAGAAGATTGAGCCTAAGCAACGCTACATCAACGATGAGGCGATGTTAGATGGGGCAGATACGCGGGCATGGCCGACGCGTAAAGTGCCTAAGGGCTCTGACGCGGCCAGGGGCGCTGTGCAAGAAAGGTACGGGTCCGAGGCGAGGGCAAGGCCGACGCGTGGAAGATCAAGAAGCTGAGAAGTGGGCAAGGCCGACACGTCAGCGAAGGTCCAAAACACGCTGGAAGGAAAGGAAACGCCTATGGCGGAAGAACGGAGCGATCGGAGAACACGAAGCGAAGAGATGACCCGGCGCTGCGCGGAGTAGGTACGCCAATCCCAACCATAGGGAGAAGGAAAGACGGCGCGAAGACCTAGGAGTCAGAAACGTGGGCAAGGCCGGCACGTATGTCGACTGAACCACAGCTAGGCCAAGGGCGAAGCATGTGTGAGGGAATGTGGTGAGCGTTCACTCAACCCTATACAGGAGGGGAGCGGCCTAACTCGGGTGGAGAGAGGCAGGCCACCACAAAACACCTCCTTCCCTAACTCGGAGGGGGAACCGCAGACAACGGAGTGCCGAAGGGCAGACGTTGTTGGGAGAGGAGAGAGAATTCATGCTCTATCCTGAAGAAAAAAGTAATGAACGCGGGAGGGAAAACTTAGCCTCAGCCGCGATGAGGCCGCTGAGAAATTCGAAGCCAGCGGAAGGGGAACGCTGGGCCGCTGCCCAGGGAGACTGTTCTCTAAACGATTACGAGAGAGAACAAATATACACAAATTATAGAGATAACTATTCAAATCAATGGCTACATTGCGCATTGATTGAGCGAGGAACTCGCTCGAGAAAAAAACTGAGGAGAATGCAGTGGAATCGGTCAGGTCGACCTATGAGGTCCTGCCGCGATTCCGCGACATTACGGTGTCCTAGACACCTTTTATCTTTCTGGCAAGCGCCAGAAGAGATAACTCGAGGACAGCGATATTAGAGAAAATATAGCAATCGTTGAATAGTTTTGTTTATGTAATATAACTATCTTTTTAGGTCCTAGCCAAAGTAGAGATGAGCGAGCGAACCAGGCAGACGCATTTGAAGCTTGTCAAGGTATACGAAGCTTACGGAAATGTCTAAAAAATGTATAGGCTTTAACCTTTCAAGCGGCTCTTCCATGCTTCTTCTCAATATCGGTTGGCTGCTACGCTGTGGAGCAACTCGGGATTTATCACCATTCTATTTTGGAGTTTATGGTTTTTCAGGTAACAGCTTTTAGGTGTTTTTATTAACTATTTTTTGCGTGTTAAAATGTCTTTAAAATGTCATTTGTAGTCTGTGGCATGGATCCCGTTACTAGCGCCGATGCTGTCACTCTACTACGTGGCACCCTATAAGAAAGCGAGCAAGGAGCTGTTGAAATGGCTGGGACTCGGGAGACTGAAGGTAGAGCTCGAACACAAGTGAATCAAGTAAGATTATTTTAGTGCTTGAACGATCTGAAAGACGCAAACTACAAAGTACGGCCGGTCTCAAAAATATCGACAGCGACGATGTCGTTATATCGCTAAAAGATGGAATCTTTAGGTTTTGAATAAACTCTGAACGCATTTATATGTAGAGAGGGAGTTAGTGAGTGAGAGAGCGCGAGAGAGAGAGAGAGAGACAGCGGGCGGATGAGAGCACAAGAAAGTGAGAAAGGGCGACAAATTCTCCATAGAAAACCGTGAATGAACCGTGAATGGGCCTGTAATTGAATAGCCCCTCATTGTTTACGGGACGCGCTCTTTGCCCCCCCGAACCCTCCAGACAACCAATTCCTGCAAATTTTGATGTTTTTCTTTCACCGGACGGTGGCTTCACCCCCGACTCGATGTGTTATGCTTTCACGGCCGAAAAAACCAGATGGTGATGATAGTCAAAAAATTTACACTGTTCGGCTTCTCGCCCCGGCTTTTCTAGCTCGCATATCGATCCCCTGACCACTCATCGTATATTTGTTTTCCTTTTTAGAGGCTGGAAAGCAAGCCAGTGTTCCTTGAACAATTATTGCCCAACGAAAATCGGCGGCGTTTAGCGATTTTCAGGTAAGTTCGTGCGTTTTGGAAGCCATAATTCTTTGCGAATTGTTTAAAAACACGCCATTGGGCAAACCCAATTTTTTTTGCGGCATTGTCGTTTTCTGCGTTTTTTTTTGCGGGAAATGTGATTTTTAAGTATTCTTACGCGAAATAATCTAAGTTCAGCTCATTTTACGTTTCAATAACCATTTTGAATTGTTACTTTGCCTTCTTTCTGATACCTTCGGTTATTCTTATACTAATCTTTGATTTATTAGGTTCTCCTGGAAAAGGTGAGTAATTTTGTCTAGATATTTCTATTTCCTAAAATTGGAACGCAAATTATATGGAATTATACGGAATATATATATACGCAGATGATGCGCAAAAGATACGCACTTTGCGCAAAAATTGAGAAAAATAAAAATGAAACTAATGCGGAACCCGAAAAAAGAATTGCTTCCGCATTTCGAGCGCCAGCACTCTTTGCACTTTCTTCTTTGCAATAAAAAACTGCCAAGAAAAAGGCCTCGGCTTTCCTTTCTTCCGGCTTTTTCCGGGGTCGCATCATCGGGCTCAGCCGTCCTGTCTCCCGGGCGTTACACTCACAGTGGCGACACTCGCCCAAAACGTGTGAAAAGACCGCCCTCCGGCTCATCCGGGCCCAATATCGCCCGGAAAATGTCACCTTCACGAGGGTTAGAATGAATCTCTTGCCAAGTTTTGCTTTTAGGGCTTCCAAGAAAAATTTTACTGATCGATTTTCTAGCTCCCGTTTACGCTTTTTATTTTTTCGGGGTTTTCGACCTTTTAGCTACTTTTGTTTTATCTTTAAGCTGTTGCTCAAGCTACAAAACTTTTCTTAAAAGGTTGGGTGCCTAAATTCGAGTATAGTTTTACTTCCTAACCCTGGAAAACGAAGCCTCCGGCTCCGTTTCGTTGTTCCAGCTCGAATTTCACTAGGAAAGGCTGGATTTCCTTGACAAGGGAAACGCCAAATTTTTGCATTGTATATTTTATGCTTAAATAACGTTTTTGAAAATTTAGATAGAGAAATGGATGTATAATGATTTTTCGAGGTATTCTTGGTTGTTTTTTTAGCTTGTTTATTCCATCGAGTCCTGTGCAAAAAAGCGGGAAAATGCCTCTTTGTTTCGGGGAGAAGCAGCTGTTTCTGTGAGGTGTCCAGCTTTTGCGCAATGTTTCGTCTTGGTTGCTTCTATCTAACTAGCTCCTTGCGTTAATTAAACTACTTGGCCACTATTAAACTTTACGTGCCTTTAGTGAGAATATTTTGAAAAAGTAGCCCTAGAAATTTAAATTTTGAAATGAAATTTGAATTAAATTGAATTTAAAATTTTTGATATTGAAAAAATTTGATGTCGAACAAAAATCGGTTAAATAGTATATAATAATTTTTAAAAGTATCAGTTAACGTCTTGCCGCTTTCCAGTTTCGACTTGGCCTCGATGGCGTGAAAAACTTCTTTGTTTGCGTAGAAGTGGCTGTTTTAGGCCTTGGTTTTGCGCGCTTTTTATTTTTTTATTGTTACGCTTTGTTTATTCATAGAGGCTCAATTCTAATGTTTTTACATTTTACTAACATACCGATATTCGAAGCCGGCTATGAAATGACATAATTTTTTCAGGGATGGCCTTACGCAATTCTTCGAAAATTTGGAACTCGCACTTTCAGAAAGAGCATTTGGCGTCCGGTCACTACCCCGAAAAGTCACTACCCCGAAAGTCAC